ACTGCTGCTGAGAGGGGTCCATCAAACTCTCCCATCCCACTTCCTTTTGTTCCAAACTTGGCAACAAACTTTCCACTCACATCAAACACCTGAATCCTGTGATTACTAGAATCACAAACCATCAGGTGTCCTGCCTTGTCCATGGACAAAGAGGCAGGGTTCTTGAACTCCCCAGACGCATTTCCCTGCTTCCCAAACTTGTAAAGGAAGTTACCCCTTCTATCAAAGCATTTTACAGAATGTTCACCCCTGTCTGATACTATAAGATAGTCGTCATGTTGGATACAGTGACAGGGTTGGGTGATAAAGCCCTCTGTGCCAAGTTTATGTAAAAACTGCCCATCAGCGGAAAAGATCTTAATTAATTTGTTTAGTTTATCAGTTACAATGATATTGCCAACACTGTCAATAGATAAACCAGTAGGATAGTCAAGTTGGTGATCAAGACTTCCTTCTCCCCCAAAGTGGCGAAGGTATTCTCCCTGTCTGCTCAGTTCTTGGATCCTACTGTTTTTACTTTGCTCTGCCACAATAATATTAGCACCGTGATAAACTATTCCACAAGGCCAGTCAAACTTACCGTGCTGAACATCCTTTCCACCAAAAGATTTAATATGAGTTCCATCGCTCTTGAGTAAGTGAATCTTATGGTTACCAACGTCACTGACTGCAATTTCATCTTGTTCATTTATTGCTACCCCCCAAGGACGCTCCAATATTTGTTCTCCAAAATATAACACAGGTCTGAACTGTCTGGGTTTGACTTGAACCTCAAAAGGGCTGCCATGGATATGTTCTCCATTAACCTTCACTGATGCACTGCACGTTCCTGTTTCTTTTGCAAAGTATTTGATCTTGTAAGTACCATCTTTGTTATCTTGGACTTGCACTTCAGCTGCGCAATTATTGCCATGACGATTACTGATTTCCAGTGTGACACAGTCATTATTCTCATATGACGATTGGCATTTCTTGTTTCTTGTTGTCATAACAAGCTGTGCTTCAAGTCCAACAATTGCCTCACTGATTCCTTTTCCATCCGCACTTGATTGTTGCGCTCTTGTTTTAAGGGAACCAATTTGTTCAGCGGTTACGAGATCAAATAACTTGTGATTCTCCACAAAATCAAATTTCTGAAATGGACAGTCATCACGATCACTTCTGTCTTCTTGGTTCTTTTCTTCCTTTAATATTTTGTCCATCAGCTCGTTCGGCTGCATGAGTTGAGCGCTTGTGCTTCGCTTTAAAAGTTTTTCAGTATCTTCTATTGCTGATTCATGTCGTCTAGCTTGTTCTTCAATCTCCTCCTTTTGATTTTTAATTTCTTGAAGAGATGCTTTTGTCCTTTGTTCCACATCATTAAAGATCTCCAGTTTCTTTGCTTCAATGGCTGAAGTGATGCTGTCAACATACTCTTGTACGTTTCTCTTCACACGAGCGGCTTGTTCTTGAACTTCACTAAGGCTTTCGTCAAGTTTGGTGATTTTGCTTCTCTTTATTTGAGCTCTTTTCCTTTGCGATTCAATCGCAGACTTAACTTTTAACTTCCGCTCATTTGCAACCAGTTCTAGAAGAATCTTTCCGTGCCCATCATGATCAGTCAACGCACAAGCGTTACCAATTGCGACTTTACAAATTTTGCAAAAGAACTCCATTTCTTTCTTTTCGTGGCCTAGTATTGCACAAAATTCTGGCCTCTTTAAAATGTTCTCAAAGTCTTGATCTTGAAAGTCTTCTAATGCCAGGGCATAGTGATCTCTATTGGCTTTTATCCCATTGTGGAAAGTGATACATTCTCCGCACCAGAATGCACAACACTGGAAACAATAATGGCTTTCTCTGCTTCGTTTGTCGCAGTTTCCACACTTGACTCCGGTTGTGTTGCACTCCTTTACAGCTAATACATCAAGCAAGCTGTTAATACGAAAGTTTGTTGGCAATGCTGCTAGGTTTCCATTATCAGGGACATTGAATTCCTGTCTACACTCCGGGCACGCAATTTTATCTCTTCTGCCACTCGTTCGTTGAATCCCATTCAGACAATGAAGGCAAAAACTATGCAAAAACGGCAACTGTTTTGGATCGGTGTACTTGCTCATACACACAGAACATGATAACTCTTCGTGAAGATTGTTTAACAAGGTTTGAATATCCATGTTCACTGTGTTGGGGGTCGCGAAAGTGGTAACGTGACGGAACGGCGAAAACTATGTTGAATACATTGGAGTCTTTTTATGGATTTTGCGCATGATTGACCTCAAGAAATGATGTTATAAACCAATCAAAAAGACTTACTTGACATGTTTTGACGTTAAGTAGCTTCTGTGAATGATTGTAAAATATCCGACATTTCTTAGAACTGAGTTCAGGGTGGGTCCAGTTCCCTTACCTTTATTCAACTGTTTCACAAAATGAAAAACACTGTTTTTGCAGGTGCGTTTTTCTTTAATAGAAAGCTGCTTTTTGGTAAGTTACCGTATTTTCAACAACGCCGGACAACTGCAATGATGTCCAAAAGGTTTTGGGACACTTTCCTTTCTTCACGTCAGTCTTTGCTTGGAATTTGCATGTAGCCAGCAATACATATACATAAACACCACGTTACCAAGGTTCGCCCCCCTGATCAAACATTTGTTGAAAGTTGAGGTCGATGTGTAACTAAGTGTGTGACTTCCAAGACCCAACACTGTTCATTGGGAAAGGGGAGTTAACAAGCTCTCCATTTGAGGAGCTGTAGCCTAGCCTAAGGATGACACGTAAATGAAACGTACGCGAAAATGTGAGTGTGTGATCTAGGCAGAGCGGGCTGGTGGCTCGG